AGTTTTTATATCCGATCTATAGCTAGTAGTATAAGCTTTAATTCCTTATCGAAATGCACTACAAGTTTCTAAGAAAATAAGGCAAATATAAAGCAAAATGTAAAAAAGTGCAAAAATAGTATTCATCAAAATTTTGCTTTTTCTAGTCATAACATTAAAAAAACTTAAAGTATTAACACTGAAATGACGTTAGATATATAGCTTATAACCACAGCTTTCGTTTGATATGAATGACGAGGTCAAGTTTCTAAGAAAATAATGCAAATATGAGGCATAATATAAAAAAGTGCAACATTCTTAAATGATTTTTATCATTTCATCGAGTTATAACTTTTAAATTAGTTAAAGAATAGAAAAAGTTTTTATATCCGATCTATAGTAGTATAAGCTTAATTTCTTATCAAAATATACAAAAAGTTTTTAAGAAAATACGGCAAATATGAAGCAAAATGTAAAAAAGTGCAAAATTTTTTCTAAACGTTTTTTTGTAATTTATTGAGTTATAACTTTTAAATTAGTTAAATAATAAAAAAGCTTTTTTATTAGATTTATAGCTAGTAGTATAAGCTTTATATTCTTATCGAAATTTATGACAACTTTCTAAAGAAATAATGCAAAAATAGAGCAAAATATTAAAAAAGTGCAATATTAGTTTAATTAATTTTTAAACTTTCTCGAGTTAAAATTTTTGAAATGTTATAAGGAATTTAACAAGGGAATACTGAGTTTATAGGTTATAATCATGGGTTTCATTAGCTACTAAGGAGCCGGGCAGGTTCTTAAGAAATAAATGCATATAAAGGGCAAAATGTAAAAAAATGCAAAATTATTTGTGTTTTATTTGGGCTTTTTACAGGAAAAACTTTCTAGAGCTTTATAATATATTAAAAAAAATGTATTATAAATCTGTTGCTAATCACCAAGGCTTTTATTTTATATTTTATACTGCAGCAAGTTTCTAAGCAAATAATGCAATTAAGGGGCAAAATGTAAAAAAAGTGCAAAATTTTTAACTTTTTTTTACATTTTGGAGTTTTGTTTATACAATTGCAAGTACAGAATTATATTAAAATCTTTGTTATGTATTGTTTAGGAATTTCAAATTCTAATGCCTACTTTTAGGCTTTTTTATTATCTAAAATGTATTGCCTACTTTAAGGCTTTAAAAATTTTTTGGCAATGATTTTTCTTTAAGTTTTATTCACTTTTTTATGAAGTTTTCTGTCGGTAAACAAATGTTTATTTATTGAAACAATAAGTTTTCTTACATGTACAAAACCTTAACCAGTTCAGACCAGAGCTGCCTGTCTGCCAGCAAAATATTTTTTTTAAATTAACTCTCTTTTTGTTTTACAATACTATTTTACAGCTGCATTCGAAGATTTATGGCTTAAGAAAGAAACAATAAAAAGCCATAATTTTTATTGTTTAACATTACAATTTTATGTTGAAAAATACAAAGGAAAAATAACAAACAACAAAAAATTCTTGCAACATTTTAATAAAGAAACAAATATTTAAACAGTTTGGGCAAAACAAGACTTCTCACTCCTCCTTCCTTTAAAAGTTTTTAAGAAAAATTCTTTATTTCGCCAAAGCAAAAGCAAGTTCTTTAAATTTGTTGCTGTTTCAACTTCCGTTAGTCCAAATAAGGTAATTTGTCCTAAAAAAAAAACTCCCAACCAAAGTCAAAGTCATTTTATATGTCAAAGTTAATCAGCAATTTGTCAATACATTTGACAGGTTTAGTGGTGTTTTTTTCGTATTTGGCAATAACTTAAAAGTGCACTCACGCACTCAATAGGGATTCCAAAGTAAATAACGGTAAGAAAAATTTTAAGTTAAAAAAAATCCAAAATACAGCTAAGCGTATAAAAGTCAATAACTTTTTGTAGCAAAGAAGCAAAAAAAAAAACCTTAAGAAAAATATTAACTGACAACGAAAACAAAGCAGTAGACAGTCAATTTTGATGATTAAAATGGGTGCAGCTTCAGAAAGGAATGTATCTCACAGAAAAAACTCGTTCCCATAATAAATTTTCCAACCACACACACACAGAAAAATTTTGCACAAAATTATAAAAAAAAAACTCAAGAAAAATTTACAACCCACAACATTTTGATTTAAGATTATTCCCTTTACAGTAATTTATCATACCAAAACCACAATTGAAATTCTACCCTTAAAATACCAACCACCCACTAAAAGGCCAGAGAACGCAAATACAACTCATTAATTTTTACGACAAATTGATTAACCATCAATATGTATAGTAGACTTTGAGGTAGTGTTAGCGCATAATATGTAAAGCATACCTTTTGGCTTTGTAGCTAGCAGCCGCTCACAGTTAATGTATTGGACATTTAGCAGCCCATAACGTAACATTAATAAAGCTTGAGGCTGTGAGAGAGATTTTGGCAAAAAAAGAAAAAAACACAAGTTACAACACGTGCCTTAAACGTGTGCTAAAACTTGAGATTAACACAATATAAAAAATTGTAAGGTAATAATTTTATACAAAATAAAATAAGAAAAAAAAAAATACTTCAAAAACAAAGATTTATTGATTTTTGGGTTTTTTTTTAGATCAAAAAATAGGGGGATTTTTGTTTTAAAATTAAATCACATTAAGCAAATAGTCGTACTGTAATCTAACTAGACTATAGTACAGGTTATAGATTAGAATTTAAGTCCGATTATAGACTAGGCTGGCCTATAGTCGAATGTATAGTTTGGACTATAGTCTAATGTATAATCAGCACTATAGTCGAATGTATAATCTGGATTATAATCTAATCTATAGTATGGACTAGTATATACTTTAGTCTATAATCTAGTCTAAAAACAAGTCTCTAAACTAGTCTATAGTCTAGTACATAGTCTAGTCTATAGTCTAGTGTATAGTCTACTGTATAGTCTAGTCTATAGTCTAGTGTATAGTCTACTGTATAGTCTAGTGTATAGTCTAGTGTATAGTCTAGTGTATAGTCTAGTGTATAGTCTAGTGTATAGTCTAGTGTATAGTCTAGTGTATAGTCTAGTGTATAGTCTAGTGTATAGTCTAGTGTATAGTCTAGTGTATAGTCTAGTCTATAGTCTAGTGTATAGTCTAGTCTATAGTCTAGTCTATAGTCTAGTCTATAGTCTAGTCTATAGTCTAGTCTATAGTCTAGTCTATAGTCTAGTCTATAGTCTAGTCTAAGTCTAGTCTATAGTCTAGTCTATAGTCTAGTCTATAGTCTAGTCTATATTCTAGTCTATAGTCTAGTCTATAGTCTAGTCTATATTCTAGTCTATAGTCTAGTCTATAGTGTAGTCTATAGTCTAGTCTATAGTCTAGTCTATAGTCTAGTCTATAGTCTAGTCTACAGTCTAGTCTACAGTCTAGTCTATAGTCTAGTCTATAGTCAAGTCTATAGTCTAGTCTATAGTCAAGTCTATAGTCTAGTCTATAGTCTAGTCTATAGTCAAGTCTATAATCTAGTCTATAGTCTAGTCTATAGTCTAGTCTATAGTCAAGTCTATAGTCTAATCTATAGTCTAGTCTATAGTCAAGTCTATAATCTAGTCTATAGTCTAGTCTAGTCTATAGTCTAGTCTATAGTCTAGTCTATAGTCTAGTCTATAGTCTAGTCTATAGTCTAGTCTATAGTCTAGTCTATAGTCGTCTAGTCTATAGTCTAGTCTATAGTCTAGTCTATAGTCTAGTCTATAGTCTAGTCTATAGTCTAGTCTATAGTCTAGTCTATAGTCTAGTCTATAGTCTAGTCTAGTCTAGTCTATAGTCTAGTATATAGTCTAGTCTGTAGTCTATTCTATAGTCTAGTCTATAGTCTAGTCTATAGTCTATTCTATAGTCTAGTCTATAGTCTAGTCTATAGTCCAGTCTATAGTCTAGTATATAGTCTATAGTCCAGTCTATAGTCTAGTCTATAGTCTAGTCTATAGCCTAGCTTATAGTATTGTCTATAGTCTAGCTTATAGTCTAGTCTATAGCCTAGCCTATAGTCTAGTCCGGGTTATAGTCCACAATTTGGACTGGACTTTAGTATAGTTTTTAGTTTGCCTTTAAATTACTCTACTTTACATTACTTTTTGCCTAAAAAGCCTCTTTACTCTTAAGTAAATATTTGCCCCTTTAAATACTAATTGCATTATAAATATAGCCTTAAGTAAAGACTAGCCCTGCACCCCTGCTGTCCAAACAATTCTTATGTAGTAGCAATAAAGCTTACACAATAAGTACAACAATAATGTTGAACTAAACATGGAAAAAAATCCCTAAATACTCAAGATTATTTGCCAAACATATTCTGTTCATTTATGTTGTAGCATTTTAGGCTTAAGGACAAAACAAATGAAAAATCTTTGTTTGGCGAAAAGCAAAATGCAGTTGTGTAAATAAAACTTTAGGAAAAAATAATGAAAATTGTTTAGATTCTGTAGTATCGAAAAGAAAATGGAAAATTGTACTAATTAAATAGCAATAAGGCTTTAGAGGGAAAAGGGAAGAGATTTTAGGGGGAAATGTAGCAATTAAAAGATTACTAGACAAATAAGTAAGCAGACAGACAAACAAACAAAAATAGACAAAAGAAATGCAATGAAACTTAAGAAAACATATGTAAATCAATAACTAAAGCCTTAAAGTAGGCAGAGAATTTTTAAGTTAATTAAAGCCTTAATATAGGCACCATATTATAGTAATAAACGAATAAAATTTATTTTTAAAGAGCAAAAACTAATTTTTTGTTGTAATAAGAACATTTTTAAAAAATTTAAACCCAAAGTTTTAAGAGAGGAAAGTTTAGTAAAGCCTTAAGATAGGCAAGGTTAGACATGGTAATTAAAGCCTGAAATTAGGCATTAAAAGTGTAATAATCAAATAAAATTTGCCACAACTGTTTGTTTGAAAAGTAAGAAACGTAAAATGTTATAAAATTAAATTATTTAGAAAAAAATTTATAAAAAATTTTGATTTGTATTTTTTAAAAAAAAGTGCTACCAGAAAGTATGCTTTAAAAAATATATCAAAAAAATGTTTTAAATAAACAACGTTAAGTTTAAAATTAACAGAAATTATGATTTGAGTTAAAAATAAAAACATAAAACAAACTTTGAATCAAAAATGGGCAACTCGTCCTCATCGCATGGCAGCAAAAGCAGTCGAAAATGTCGCAGTCTACCCAATTCACCAGATGTACGAAGGTAATGGAAACTTAAAAAAATATACATAAATTTAAAAAACTATTTTAAACATAAATAACACAAAGTATTATTTACAATTTAAGCAAATAAAATAAATTATTAAAAAAAAAAAACTATTTTCCCCCTTTTCTTCTCTCTTTCAAAAAACTCCCCTAGAAAAAATATTTAAATGTCAAGTTCATAAATTGTGAAAAAATCCCATTAGTGTCATGTTTAGGAATATTTTCACTTACACATATTATGCTGAGATGGCCTCATATTAGTGGTAAATTAACACTGACAATGAAACTAGAAAATCTATTCTCAGATAAAGTGAATTTTGTTGTTTTTTGAAAAAAATTTTCTTAATGAACTTTTTACATTTTTAAAGCGGCATTGTAATGCCTGATGAAATGCTGATAGATGTTCAACATGTGTGGACTTTTCCAGTTCCATACGTATGTAGTTTTAAAGAGGGAAAGTTAGTTGTTGGTTTTCTGGAAGGAAATCAAATTTAAAAGCAAATAAATTTGAGAAATACTCAAAAGAAAACTATTTGCTGGATGATTTTTTGGGCAAAACGCCAAAAATAAGAAAGTCGAAATTTGAATAAAAATACTTTAAAAACAAAAAATATCAATTTTATACTTAAATCTCAATTTTGAAAATAGTAGTAGAAATACTACTTTTTTAAAAATTGCAAAAAATGAAATTTAAAAGGTACAAATTGTTTATTTTAAGCTAATTACCAAATTTTAGCAAAAATTCCAGAATTTGAAAATAGTAGTAGCAATACTACTATTTAAAAAGGAACAAAAATTAAATTTTTTATATAAAACAAAAGAAATTTATATATTTCAAGGACTTCAAATACGAAAAATACCAAATTTTTCTTAAAATCACTATTTTGAAAATAGTATTAGAAATACTACTTTTTTAAAAACTCTTAAAATGTATAATTTTCATAGCTCAAATTGTTTATTTTAAGCTAATTTCAAAATTTTAGCAAAAATTTCAGAATTTGAAAATAGTAGTAGAAATACTACTATTTAAAAAAGAAAAAAAATTTAAATTTTTACCTAAAACAAATTAAATTTATATATTTCCCAAGATTATAAACACGAAAAATACAAAATTTGTCTAAAAATCATAATTTTGAAAATAGTAGTAGAAATACTACTTTTTCAAAAACCAAATAAAAGTAAAATTAAAAGGCTTAAATTATTTACAGAAATTAAATTAACATATTTTGACCAAAAATTTTTAATTTCTAAATAGTAGTAAAAATACTACTATTTTAAAAGTGACAAAAATTTAAATGTTTACATAAAACAAATTAAATGTATATATTTTCAAAGATTTAAACAAGAAAAATACACAAATTTTCTGAAAATCACAATTTTGAAACAGTAGTAAAAATACTACATTTGCATAAACTTGAAAAAATTTTTATTTTTAAAGCTTAAATTGTTTGTTTTAACCTAATTCACATATTTTAGCAAAATTTTCTTAATTTTTAAATAGTAGTAGAAATACTACTATTTCAAAATAAAGTGAAAAGTAACATTTTACTTCAAATTAATGAAATTTCTATAATTCTCAAAACTTTAAACACGAAAAATACAACATTTTTTCGAAAATCACAATTTAGAAAATAGTAGTAGAAATACTACTTTTTTAAAAACTAAAAAATAATAATTTTAAAACTCTCAAATTGTTTATTTAAACCTAATTACTAAATTTTAGCAAAAATTTCTTGATTTCTAAATAGTAGTAGAAGTACTACTATTTTAAAATAAACAAAAATTTAAATTTTGAGATAAACCTACTCAAATTTAAGTATTTTCACACACTTTAAACAAGAAAATTTTATTTTCTTCTTCAAATCTCAATTTTGAAAATAGTAGTAGAAATACTACTTTTTTAAAAACTTCAAAAAAGTTATATTTAAAAGGCTTAAATTGTTTATTGCAACCAAATTAACATATTTTAACAACAATTTCATTATTGTCATGATACTACTATTTTAAAATGTAGTAAAATGTAACTTTTTACATAAAAAAATGAAATTTATATGTTACGAAAGACATTAAACATGAAAGCACAAAATTTTTCTACAAATCTCATTTTAGAAAAAAGTAGTAGAAATACTACTTTTTTAAAGAACTTTAGAAATATCAAATTTATATTGCTCAAATATTTTAATATAATGTTAGCACTATTATTACTATTTTATATGCAATTTATTGATTGACATTTTTCTTAAATGAAAACGTCATTTGTCTCAATTATATTTATAACGTTTTTTTTTGTAACTTGACATTTGAAAACTGCTTAATTATCGTATCTAGATGTTTTAATCATGATTTGTTTTTTAGATTAGTTTTAAATAATAATTGAATTAATACAATTTTAAATGCTGGTACATGTTTTGATTTAGAAATTATTTTCCATAACGTGTGTTATGCATCTTTAATATTTTTTAAAATTATAACAAATTCTAAAACAACCCTCTCAATGCTTAGAAACTGAAGCAAATATTAACATCCACCACCAAAAAAAATGTATTAAATATTTGAAAAGATCAAAGTGTAGATTATTTTCTATGATTAAAGGTGGTAAAAATGTCTCTAAATTTCAAACAACTGTTTCAAATTTAAAGATAAAGAGATATTTGGGTAACCATAGAAAAGTCTACATAACTCATATATTGTGTATTTTAGAAATGTTATGCTTATTGTGTTTCCATTAATGAATTAATGCATGTGTATCTTGTAGGTTTGTTTAACACTGTTCGGTTTCAGGGGTAAATTTTAGAGTTTGACCGCAGATTTATTTGTGTGGTAATTGAATTTTCGTGAGTTTTCCCTAGTTTTTCAAACATATTATGATAGTTGTTTGTATAAGAGTAGTTTTTCTACTACTATTTTCAAAATTGAGATTTAAAGAAAAAAAAAATACTTTTTCATGTTTAACGTATTTGAAAATACTTTAATTTTAGTAGTTTTAACTAAAAAGTTACTTTTTACTACATTTTAAAATAGTAGTATTTCTACTACTATTTAGAAATTAAGAAATTTTTGCTTAAATAAGTTAACTAGGTTTAAATAAACAATTTGATCAATTAAAATTATAAATTTTTGAACTTTTTAAAAAAGTAGTATTTCTACTACTATTTTCAAAATATAGATTTGAAGAAAAAAATTATTATTTTCGTACTCAAAGTACTCAAATTTTTATAAATTTCCTTAATTTTAGTTAAAAACTTACTATTTACTACATTTTAAAATAGTAGTATTTCTACTACTACTTGGAAATCAAGAAATTTTTGCTGAAATAAGTTAACTATGTTTAAATAAATAATTTGAGCAATTAAAATTATTAATTTTTGAAGTTTTAAAAAGGTGGATTTCTACTACTATTTTCAAAACAGAGATTTAAAGAAAAACATTATTATTTTCGTACTCAAAGTACTGAGATTTGTATAAATTTCCTTAATTTTAGTTAAAAACTTACTATTTGCATAATTTTAAAATAGTAGTATTTCTACTACTATTTAAAAATTAAGAAATTTTTGCTCAAATATGTTAATTAAGTATAAGTTAAAAATTTGATCCATTAAAATTATAATTTTTTGGGGTTTTTAAAATAGTAGTATTTCTACTACTATTTTCATAATAGAGATTTGATGAAAAAATTCTTATTTTCGAACTCAAAGTACTGAGATTTGCATAAATTTCCTTAATTTGAATTAAAAACTAATTATTTACCACATTTTAAAATAGTAGTATTTCTACTACTATTTAGAAATCAAGAAATTTTTGCTAAAATTTGTTACTATGGCTTAAGTAAACAAGTTGAGCTATTAATATTATGAATTTTTGAAGTTTTTAGAAAAAGTAGTATTTCTACTACTATTTACAAAATTAAGATTTGAAGCAAAAATTTATTATTTTCGTGTTTAAATTTTTGAGATTTATAGAAATTTCATTAATTTGAAGTAAAAAGTTAATTTCTACTTAATTTTAAAATAGTAGTATTTCTACTACTATTTAGAAATCAAGAAATTTTTATCAAAATATGTTAATTAAGTTTAAATAAAAAATTTGAGCTATTAGAATTATAAATTTTTTACGTTTTTTAAAAAAGTAGTATATCTACTACTATTTACAAAATTCAGATTTGAAGCAAAAATTTAATATTTTCGTGCATAAAGTACTGAGATCTACATTAATTTGCTTAATTTTAGTGAAAAACTTACTATTTCCTACATTTTAAAATTGTAGTATTTCTACTACTTTTTTAAAATTTATTTTTTAGCCCCAAAAAACTTAAATTTATTCTTATGAAATATGATTACATAAAATTTAAGGCTAAAAATTATTTTCTAAAATAGAACTAATTCTACTACTTTTTTTAAAAAATCTAAAATGTGTATAAAATTTTTCTTTATGTGCCGTTTGTCTTGAAAAAATAAAATTTCTTTTATTTAGTAAAAAAAAAATTATCAATATTTATGAAAACATTAATCATTTATTTATTCAAAAAAGTACTTTTTTCCATTTTTATCTTTCTACTTTATTCTCTATTAACATGATGATTGCTTAGTAATTAATCTTGTCTTTTAGAATAACATCAGCGTTACATAGAAACCATAGCCTATACAATGTGTATTTAGAACAGTTTTTTTTTTTTGCTGTTGGTTTTGTTGTTTTTGTTCTTAAACTCTAATGAAAATGAAATGTAAAATAAATACCATTTAAATAAAAAAACAACATTCTAAACATAACATAGAGAAGAGTTGGAGAAAAAAGTACTTTTTTCTAAACTTGCTTTTATCAATTCTTAGACTGCTGCTGTTGTTGTTGTTCTAAGAGCATCATTATAAATATTCATGCTCTTTGCTGGGGGGAGAGTAGTGGGAGGTTATGGAGAAGATTTATAAATACTTCTGCAGTGTGTGTTAAGTTTATCTTTAGCTGAGTAAAGTTAGTTGTTGTTGTTGTTGACACACCAATACA